TATATATATATATATAAAACGTACATGGGCGACGGAACCATTGAATGAGGGTGGGACAGGACCCACCCACTTTTGAAGACCAATGATATTGGACTCATCCACTTTTGTCGTCTCTAATTCAGCGAATATGTGTACTTTTCAGAGCGCCGTCAGTCAAACCCATTCCACACGACGAATGCCCTAATAAATTAAACTCCGTTTAGCTACAGCCTTGAATTCCACGCTGCTGCTGCTTCCTCAAATCCATATGTGTGTGTTGAACACAAAGTTGCAACAGTGTGATCAGTGCATTTCCGACCATGTCATCACCCAGGGAAAACAAGCAACGAGATATTTTGCGTCCTATACTTTTATACTTACATATTTTTGAGTAACAATTACTTTAAAAATGAACGCTAGCGTTTATAATATGGTGCCATTGTCTCTCACAGTATTATAGTGGACGCGGACACCCCCCTCCGCACTCAAATTGGTATGAGCCGTATCGCACGCTGACTGGAAACATGTGGCTGTTTTAGCCGGCTTGTCATGTAGAGAAATATATCACAGTTTTTGGTTAATAAATCAGTGATACAGCATGTAAAACGACCGATAAGCAAGAATACACAGTTGTAACCTCGACAGACAGGAACTTAAAGGTCTTTTACGGGCTCTCTGGACAGACAGCTGACGCCTGCGCTGGGTTATCTTCCAACAGTTCGAGGTACTTCTTCTTTTTAATCTTAATAATTAACCAGTCGACATCTGCACAGATCGGTACAGTTATTCAACAGATTTGAGGGAATTCCAGAATTGCTTGCCATGTAGAAGATTGCCACGATGCAACGGTGCTGATTACATGACAGTGATTAGAAGAGCGTAACTTCATTTGACTCTCAAGGATCATGTTCATTTAGAGGATCTGATCTGTTTTAGATGGTTCTGGGGCCTGGGCGTTCAAATGGGTACCGATTGTGTCAGTATGCATCGTGTGCTTGTTAGAGGCGCAGTTTGCTTCGTGAGCTCTCAGCGGCGCTGCTGTGCCGCTTTTAACCATAGACTGTATTTTAACATGAGAATTCTGAATGTTGTTCCTAGTTCCTAGACCAGTGATGCCAAATTGATCACCTGGGAACCCACAACACTGAATGTTATGTAACACAGGTGTTTTCACAAGTTGTGATACCAAATCTCTTCCTTAGAAATATATCTTCCTTATAAATAAGACAGCTGTCGATTTTTGTTGTCTCCAAAATTAAATAATTTACTTTTATATTGTCACTGTACTAGGGCCAATTCAAATTATTATAAAAAAAATGTAATCATTATTAATAAATGTAATACTGAAATATACACTCCTGGGCTAGAAAAAACGAGCCAAGCCAAAATGGCTAAATATTTAGTTAGTTGGAGTTTAATGTGAGACCAAATATTCTTTATAGGGTTCAGATCTGGACTGTGATCAGGTCAAAACATGAACCTGATGGACTCGAGCCTCTTCTTGGTTGTCTTTGCAGTGTGGGAAGGAGCATTTTCTTGTTCCTCTTTAGATAACTTTTCATTTGGGAAGCAAGCTATTCTGCAATAATTGACAGAATAGCTTTAATTTACTTTAATTGACTCCAAAGCATGAATTGACTTTTCATAGTGAAGCAGCTCACCAGTACCAGCAGCTGAAAGGGCTCCACACACAATCACACATCTTCCTCAATGCTTCACTGTGGTAGAGATGCATTCAGTTTTGCGTACCTCACCAAATCTTCAAAGACACCGCTCTGGTGCATCACCGTGCAACTCCTTTTCTATCACAATTAATCACTCTACACAACTCTGCTGAACCACTCTAAATAAAACTTCCCATACTCTGCCAAAAACTTCATTCTGACTTTTGATGTATTTTCTGAGACAGCAATGGCTTTTTAAGGAGTGCATTTACTCAATTATTGCTAATTTCTTTACCTGTAATTTGTGGTAAAGACCATTAAAAGCTTAGTGTTTAGCCATTTTGGGCTTGGACCTTTTATTGCCCTGGACTGTATGTGAAGAATATTTATTTTGTATTAAATTGGCAACATGTCTTTTATTCTTAACACTAGGGCTGTGCAATATATCGAAATTATCGAAAAGTCGCAAATGTACATATCACAATATGCATATCGCTACAGCTTGCAATATTTGGGGCCATGAACAAAAGACAAAGAGAAAATCACTCGCTGCTCTTACCTAAAAAACTTTTGTAGCTTAAATAAGAGTCAGTGCATATTGAATTCAAAGTAAATACTAAGCAGTTTTTTATTTTTCCTTTTTATTATTCAGTTCCTAAACTCATGTTAAAATGATTACACTAATGTTAAAATTACATTTTTATGTAATGCTCGAGTAAAACACATACCGTTCACTTTCAGAAGTTGTTGTAAGGGTGCTTTCTTATTAGAATCAGAATCAGAATGAGCTTTATTCACCACTTAAGTGTGTGCAAACACAAGGAATTTGTTGTGGATTTACAGGAGCTCTTGATACATACATATAAATAACCATATATATATGACACAAGATAGTTATAGAAGTTCACAGAACTGACTCAGCAACAGCTGAGTAAAACTGTTTCATCTGAGCATGTGGCACTTTAAGCATTATTGTATCGTATATGGAATATCGCATTTTTCTTCAATATCGCACAGCCCTACTTCACACTAATAAAGTGAGATGTTCCGACCTTTAAAATAATGGTAACACTTTACAATTAGGTCTGATTTGTTAACATTAGTTAATGCAATAAGTTAACATACTAACTATGAGCAATATATGTTTACAGCATTTTTAAACCGTTGTTATTTTTAAGAATAAGTTCATCATTGTTTGTTCATGTTAGTTCACAGTGCACTAACCAATGTTAAAAGATACAAGTTTTGATTTTAAAAATATATTAGCAAATGTAGAAAACATTTTCAACAGATTTGGAGAAATTTTGCATTACATCACTTGCTGACCAATGGATCCTCTGCAGTGAATGGGTGCCGGCAGAATGAGAGTCCAAACATCTGATAAAACATTACAATAATCCACATGACTCCATCAATTAAAGTCTTGTGAAGCGAAAAGCTTCATGTTTTTAATAAACAAATCTATTATTAAGATGTTTTTAACTTCAAATCACTGCTTCCGGCTAAAATACGAGTCCTCTTTCCATAATATTGTTTTCTCAGTTTGCCGTTGATGCCGTTCGTTTTAGATGTAGCTCTGCCTAGGATTCACTCTGTGTTCTCTATTGTGTTTTTACATGCATGTAGAGATCATTCCCAGTGTTGTGTGAGCTGATTGGTCGTGACCATGAAGAGGTGTAAGAACTGTGGGGGGACGGACATTGATGTGGACCAGGCACGGGGCGATGCTGTGTGCATGGGCTGCGGTTCCGTGCTGGAGGACAACATCATCGTTTCCGAGGTAACCTTCGTGGAGAACAGTGGAGGAGGATTGTCCGCCGTCGGCCAATTTGTTGCTGGTGACTGTGAGTGATGGTTCATCTACTCCACACAAAGACAATTTTGCTTTGAATTTGTTTTAATATATAAATGAAGAAATAATTAGTTTGAGCTTTGAGAAACTGAATATGCTATCTATGTACCTCAGAAGATCAGAATGAAACCAAAACAAACAAAAGCTATATTGTTTCCTCTCCTGTTATTTGTCTGTATGTCCATTTGTCTCATTCTCTCTCACATAGGGAATTACATAAGAATGGAAATATTGTCTTAAATGTTCAAACAGAGGCATCCATTAGATAGGGTTGTTAGTAACATTGACTGGAAACTGTTCTTTTGAGTTGTAAATCACTTAAATGATCTGTAATGTTCTCTCAGTCACCTATCAGCCTGTGTTTATATGCTATTAAAATCTGTTTCTGCTTTTATACTTTTATTAATTTATTAACCTTCACACAATTTTGAAAACTGTTTATAGAACAACCTTGTATGATAATTTAAACGAGGGCAAGTTGTTTAATCAAATTAATAATAGTACAATTAATATTTAATATTAATATATTTTTAAATATACAGATGGTTCCTCCCCAGGCTCATTTAAGTGGGAAAAGGGAGATTTTGTTTTGAACTGCAATACCATCTTCAAACAGCAGATGGCTGTCATGTTTTTTATTTAATAATATCTTGCAATGAAGACCGATAGTGGAATCTGCCTGTCTGAAGTAAGAAAGACCTTTATTGCCAAGTATGTTTGCACATAAAATGAATTAGTTTTAGTGATAGAAGCTTCCAGTACACAGAGAAAACAACAACAACTCACAGATAATAAAAAAATAAAGATATATGAATAAAATACACATGTATATACATAAATAAAAATAGACAAAAATTGTATGTACAGGTGTGCTATAGACGGAATAGAATAAGATAGGTATTCTATTCCGTAGGGTGGTATCAAATAAATATAAGTGGATATTGAACATATTTTTATTGCACAATGGGGAGAGCTGTTCATAACTGTTCATAAGGTAGATTGCCTGGGGGGAGAAACTTTTCTTGTGCCTGGCTGTCCTGGTGTTTGGGGCTCTGTAGCACCGACCAGACTGCAAAAGTTCAAGAAGGATATGCCTTGGATGTGAGGTATCCAGAGTGATTTTCTGAGACCTTTTCCTCACTCTGGATGTATACAGTTCTTAAAGGGTGGGCAGGGGAGCACCAATAATCCTTTCAGCAGTCCGAACCGTCCTCTGTATTTTTCTGATATCTGCTTTTGTAGCTAAGCCAAACCAGACAGTTATCGAAGTGCAGGATGTGGTACAACTGTAGAGCTCCACACCGAGGCAGCCATCCGAGGCGACATCTTAGCTTGTTAAAAAAAAATGCTCATCTATATTTGGCTAATATTAGATTTAAATATGGGTGTTGTTTTTACCTTTCTTGTAAGATAATTCATTAGAAGTATTGGGTAAGCTGAAGATTACTAGGCAAGGCAAGTTTATTTGCACAGTGGTAATACAAAGTGCTTCACAGAGGCATAATAAAACAAAAAATTATATAAATTGTAAATCATTTAATAACATAAATAGTAAAAAGAAAGAAAAGTTTAATTAGTCTAACAAATGAAAAAAGAAACCGAAAGTATTGATATTGAAAAGACATACTGTAATGCTTGGTTATGAGATTAATGTTTTCCTGTTCTCTTTATTAATATATTTTATTTTTTGCTTCGTTGTAGCATCTGGAAATGTGCCATCATTGGGAGGAAACTTCCAAACTGGGGTTGGGAGGGAGTCCAGAGCTGCCACTCTGCAGAACGGTGAGCGTTCATATGCAGTATATGCCGTTCATGAAGAATTCATATGCCCTTCATCTAAGTTTTTTTTTAATGTTTTTGCAAGTTTGATCACCAAAGCCACATTTATCTGATTAGACAATCTAATAACCATTTAAAAGATGGAACCATTTAATAACCATTTAAAAACTGTTTTCCATTTAATATATTTTATTTATTTATATGATGACAAAGCTGGATTTTCAGCAGCCGTTACTCCAGAATTCAGTGTCAAATGATCCCTCAGAAATCATTCTAATATGCTGATTTAGTGCTTATTATTATTATCAATGTTAAAAAAAGCTGCTTAAAGGGGTCATATGATGCTTTTTTAAAGATCATTATTTTGTGTATTTGGTGTAACAGAATATGTTGACATGCTTTAATGTTCAAAAAACACATTATTTTTCAAATGCTGTACATTATTGTAGGTCCTCTATGCCTCGCCTCTCTCAAACGCTTCGTTTTCTACAAAGTCCCCTCCTTTGACAAGTGCAGTCTGCTCTGATTGGCCAGCTGACCCAGTGCATTGTGATTGGCCGAACGCCGCAAGCACTCGTCGGAAATGTAACACCCTCGCTGTGCGTTTCATTGTGAAAGTGAAACTACTTTGTTGGGTCTTCCAAAAGAGGACACAACTAGAAATCAGTGGTTAAGTTGTATTTACAACACTGTTCCAGAACAGTTCAACCCAAATATTC